GAAAAGGAACTAACAGTGACTGCCGTTTTTCCTCAACCAGGAGTCAAGAAAAGAGAGGGAGGAAATAGAAAAAACTTACACTTGCATATCAAAAAATTCATCCAAATCAAACATTCTTAACCCATTACTTTGATGGATACAAAGCTTTGAGGATAAAAATGCAAGCAGCTGAAAGAAATATAATTTGTATTAGTGAGCTGAGCTGCGTACCAGCTCCTTTCTCAGGACTGTGTAGCTGCACATGCAATGATACACCCCATGATGAAGAAAGGTGTGGCCCCTTGACTGTCCTTAATTAAAGGGGACAGATGACTTAAATATTTGCTATCGCCCATTTCCCTTCCCTGTCTTCATCTGATCCATCTTTGTTTCACATCCACAGAAGCCTGAAATGAAAACACTATTAAGCCTCATGTTATAGAACAGCAGATGTATTTATCTCTTAGTGATAAAGCTAAATATGGCCTTTGTACCTGTGATTTCATAATTACTTCACTTAATATCAGTCTGATTTTAGTACAGACTATTGAGAAACCGTTTTTATAACTATTACAAAAGTATAAATCTGTAAAAGCAGGAATTGCTGATAGAATTTCCAGGTTCTTACAGGTTTGAGGGCATATTTTTTTCAGCATTTGGCTACAAATTCAGTACTCAGGCTACACTGCTTGATTGAACAAGTCCACTAAGAAAAAGGCTTCTTATACTTTGTACTCCTTCTTCATTTAATGCAATCAAATATTTGCAATAGGTGGCTACCATGCATACACATGCCACATGGAAACTTGATTCTTAGGGAAAAATTTATTATCATTATAAGGGTGAAAATCCAACAATTAAAATGTCTGATGCCTAAGATGCCATCATTTGGCAGGTCCCAAAAGCTGCCCAGGTAAAAGCTGTATTACTGAAAGTACTACACCGCCCAGGAATCCATTGGAAATACAGCTTTATTTCTGGAATTACAATTTGAGCAGAGCAATCTGGCAATGCTGCACCATTCAAATTAAGAAATTATATGGTCTGGGGTATGACAGATCCTACTAATTAATTAGTTGACATTTAACCTGTAAGTTAATGTAGGGAATATTCTACTTATTATATAACAAACAGTATGTTCCTTATGAATATATGATCATTTCCCCTAAGAAACTTCAAGATTAGAGGTAAGTGATAATATTTTTTCTAACTCTGGTGCTTATATTCCTTGCTAGATATACTTGTGAAAAATGAATTACATTCTTATAAACATACACAAACTCAAAGGGGAAAACATCACATGAGAATACCCTACTATTCCTCTGAGAATATTTAAATGTCAGCTCTCTGTTACATCTGACTTTATACTACAGTAGCCAATTCATGTTCTTACATGCTCCAAGTCCTTGTGATTACCTTGTGCCTTTGCCTGAGGACAGGAGCTCCAACTTGAGAAGCTACACATGGCTGTAATACTGAAAACAGGAAAGAAGGACATATCTGGTGCTCTCAGCTTATCAGCAAACTCGTATGTGCATGCCAAGTTTGACCCATGGCACAAAGTTCTCCTTCCATTTATGATGAGCCTGCCAAGCAAAGTCGGGAAGCATTAAAAGAAGAATTACCTCATCTAAATTACACCTGTGTAAGTGACATCTGTCCAATTTAAATTTATTTTCTAAATTGAACAGAAATTCACCATTCTTCATGGTAAGTCATTCACCTTATTCCAACTTACAAGTTACTTACAAGTAAATTACCACCTTATGTGCTCTCTCAGTTCTGCGGAGGGAAGGTGATTAGTTTAAAATAGATTGTTTCTCCATGAGGAGTGGAATTAGGTGGGAATAACCCCTTCATTCCTGACTGTTATTATATTGATTAATAGAGGAAATAGAGCTGCCAAAAACTATAGTAATGACAGCATCAGTCTTTAGTGGCCACAGCCTCTTATGAAAATAATTAATCCAGTTAACCCAAGGCTACCCTTGTAGAATATGCATGTTTTAAATTCTTCCAGAGACATTTTACTTTTAATATTCATACACATTATCCCAAGTGCACAACAGTGTCGTATCTCCTCTGCCTCTGAAAGGAAACACTTTTCTGTTCTCTGGATCTTCTCTCTGTAGCTGCTCTAAGTGTTCCACTCTCTCTGATGGCCCTTGATGCTTCCAGCAGAGCAAGCAGAAGGCCAACAGGAAACTGTAGCATTTGCAAACCAAAAGCTGAGGTTTGACTGATCAGAAGAGCTAGCAGCCTTCTGGTTTACTTTCAGCCACACTAAGTTGATCAGCAGACAGAAAATAAAGAAGGTACATAATTTACAAAGCTGCTTCTAGCTAATAATAGTTCATGTCTGAAGTTGGTTTAATAGGGTACTTTGCAATCCCTAATTAGCCTTTTCTAGCAAGCCTTTTATATATAGTAGTATTGGTGTGAATTACTTAGGTATATGTCATGATGCCAAATTCAATTAGCATGTGAAAAACAAGGAGAAACCTGTCAGAAGTGAGACCACATGGCAAACCACTTCCTAACTCACAGCATTTCAGCCAAAATCTTCTGACTGAATGAAGGGGATCTCAATTATAAAACTCCTAATAAATGTCTCCAAAGAAGCACGGAATCAGAAGCAGATGTCTTGCTTACACCCATATAAATATTTAAGATACTCAGGGGGATTTTCTTAATTAAGAAACTCAACCTGCAACAGTACCAGCATGTATTTGTACAGTCCTAAAATAATACAGTTGAAATCCACACATGGAGTTTTCAGGAATTACTGAAGATCAGTGTTAGTTCTTTATGGCAAGTGAAGAATAGCTGGGGACTTCTATCAGCAGGCAGCAGATCTGAAAGAGTCCTCCAAAGGCTGCGGGGCAGAATTACTTTTTCAAAGGGTTGTAATTTTCTGAGATATAGATAAATTGAAGTATGGTTGTTTTGATAGAATTTTAGTTCCTACTGCTCTTTTAGAGAAAGAAGATGATTTAGTTGAAGATCCCAGAAATTCTCCTGTGAGACAACCTTGTTGTGGAAACTTGAATTAACTTTTTGATTTTGAGAATAAAATAATAAATTAAATTTCCCTGCTTAAGCATTATAGCCACCCTAACTGAGAAGTTGAGTCAACACCCCAGGAGCTCTGGCAGAATCCCATGCTTTCTGCATCTACATTGCTAATAGTATCAGCAGTAAGTTGGGTAAGTTTTGAGGAGCTGCACTCATGATCATAAATGGACCTTGCAGACTTGCCACATAGCCCTCAAACTGGACATATTTACATTACAGAATGAGACAGGCTAAAGTAAATATGTTTTGGTTGGATAAAAAGTCTCACTTGTTCATGAACAAATGTTATATAAACAGATGAAGAAGTGTATCAGTCGTCCTCAATGACTGCATGAAAGATATATTTCATAAGACTGTAAAGAATTAATGAGCAACAGTGCAAAAAGCTACAAAATATTCTAACTAGAGAATACGTTTAAAAGTGTTTAAGTTGCATTTTGCACTTTAGAAACTAACAGGAATAAGCACTAACATGAATATTTCAACAATTTAAACAGACTTTAACAATAAAGCTTTTTCACAGTAAGCACACTGTGAAAATTCCTGGCTTTTTGAATGAGGCATGAGAAAAAAATAATGCATCAATGAGAATTTTTCATTTATGGAGTAAAAGAATCCTTACTACAACCAGAACTGGGGCGTTGGTTTGTCTGGATTTTTGTTGTTGTCATTGTTTTAGTTTGGTTTTGTCAGAGTTTTTCTGGAAAAATATAACCAAGTAACTATCTGTCCGTATACTTGGTACCATTTTTCTCCCTCTTGCCCTGAGAGAATAAACCTGAGCATTTTAAAATAGTCAAGTGTTTTTATTATTTATAAAGAATACTGAAAAAATGAATGAATCAACAGACAGACTTGACTAGAAAAGAAGTATAGACTATATGTTGGCATTGGTTGGATATAAATGGGATATATGTTGAATATATAGTAACGGCACACATCAGAATAATACTTAACTCAAATTTTGTACATACATTACATTATGTGACTACATACTGCACACATTTCCTAAGTTTTATATTTGTTTATATGGTCATATATGGTTACTTTATTTTGTGTAAATGTCTTTCCTGTGACAGCCTGGCGTGCTCCAGGCCTGCCAGGTTTGGTGGCAGCTTCCCAGCCCCACCACTGAGGAGGGACTGGATTCAGAGCCCAGATTTCCTGCCCAACGCAGGCAGCTGCTTGTGGAGGAGCAGAGTTTCCCTTCGTAAATCTTAGCAAGGTTTGATTTCAGTAATCACTGCATGCATCCACCAAACCCAGGTAAATCTATGGAAGTCGGCCTCTTCTCCCAGACAAATAGCCATAGGAGAGAGGCAACAGTCTTAAGATGCACCACAGTTGATTTAGGTTGAACAGTGGGAAGAATATCTTCAGAGAAGAGGGGATTATAGGCTGCCCGGGAGGTGGTGGAGTCACCATCCCTGGAGGTGTTGAGGAAAGTAAACTCAGTGCCATGGTCCAGCTGGTATGGTGGTGTTCGGTCACAGGTTGGACTCGATGACCCCAGAGGTCTTTTCCAACCTAAGATTCTGTGATTCTGTGTGTCAGCTTGCTTGTACAGTTACCCGCGTTCAGAGGGAGTGAGCGTCTCCCAGCCTGAATGACCATTTCCTTCTCACCAGAAGTGACAAGTGTTTAAAAATCGCATTATTTGGAAGGAAGCCCTCACTGTCCAGTCCCCGGTACGGACCGCGGGCGGCAGAGACCCTCGCCCAGTTCCTCATTCACGGAGCACAGTCCCCAGGGGTCTCCGCCTGGCCGCCCCCTCAGCTGCGGGGCTCGGGCCGAGCGCGGCGGGATCCCCTTGATTCCTCCGGAGCCGCCGCATTCCCGCGGCGCCGCGGGGCGGGGAGCGAACGCTGGGGCCGCCCGCTGGCGGCCGAGGGGAAGCGGCGGCACCTCGAGAGGGGCGCCGGCTCCGCCCCGTGTGCCGCGGGGCGTGGGGCTGCTCCCGGCCCCGGCGGCGAGGACGGCGGCGGCGGCAGCGGCGGGGTCCGCGTTGGCCGCCGGCGGGGACCCAGTGCTGCCCCGCCGCGCCCGCCCGCCCCATCGCACGCCGTTGTCATGGAGGAGCCAAGATGGCGGCGCTGGCCTACACCGGGGGCAAGCGAGAGATCAACTACTACTTCAGCGTGAGGAGCGCCAAGGCGCTGGCGCTGGGCGCCGTCCTGCTCCTCACCGCCTGCCACACCGCCTCCCGCCGCTACCGAGGTGAGGGGGCGGCCGCGGGCGCTCCGCGGGGGGCCGCTGCTGCCGGGCAGGGGAGGCGGAGCCGCGGCGGAGCTCGGGCACCGCGGCCGTGCGGGGAGGGCGGAGGGTCCCTCCGCCCGGGGCAGCCGCGGCGGTCCGGGCGGCGCGGGGCGGCGGCTGGCTGACCGCCGAGGGACGCGACCCCGGGGGACAGCGGGGACGCGGCCCCGGGGCCCCGCGGGCCCGGCCGGGGGTCGCCGCAGGCCCGGCCGGTCGGGCGAGGCCCCGCGGAGTGAGGGCGGCGAGCGCGGCCGGCGGGGCTGGGGCTGTGCGGCGTTTCTCTGAGAGCTCGCCGCAGCTCCGGGGCCCGGCCTGCGGCAGGTGAAGCGGCAGGGGTAGAGGGTGACTTGTTCCCTGTCACTTGTTTCCGTACGGCATGATTAATGGCTAATTACCTAGCAATTAGTGGTTAAAGGCTTAATTGGTACGAGATCTGGTATATATCGTTTCACTCGTTGAACCATCGCCTCGGACATCACGAGGCTGGCTGCGCTGGTGGGTGAAGCGCAGTAAGGAGCTGTTTGGCTTCACGTGTGTCGGTGGCCGCGGACGGGCTCCGGGCACCGAGCGAGCTTGTGTCGCTGCGGCGTGACCGGCTGCGCACCTCGGACACGGGGCGCCGGCTGCTCTGCTCGTTCCTCCTTGCTAGGGCTGTTTTGGCCCTGAAGCGGAGAAACTTGGCATGATCCCTACATGCAAATGCAGTCGCTGAAGGATATATTTACTTGTTTCTGTGTCACGCTGAAAAATGTGGTATGTTTTTGTGGGTAAATGAAAAAGTTGATCTGTAGGGAGATGACCGCGGTGTCGTGTTCTAGCGCTTGGCTGCCAGCATTCATGGGAGACAAGGCTGAGCGAGGCAGTTCATTGTGGAAATGGAAAAAGGGGTAGGGATCTTTATGTTTAAATTCCCTCTAGCTGGCATGTCGGTAAGTCTGATAAACTGACTAGTATTAAATTGGAAGACTTGGAAGTATTTACTGAATTCTAGCATGTATCAAGCGTGACATAATTGAGCTTGCCTGTTGTGCAGTGTTCCTTAAGGCACAAAAGAGCCATAAAACTAGACGAAGGAGGGTGGCAAATTTTTAAAAAGGGATTGCAAGACTAAGCAAATGGGGACTGACATATCAAGCAGGTTGTAAGGAAAATAAAATATTCATAGTTTCAGTATATACTGTGAGAGTTAATGAGGGGGTTGAGTCTCATTGCAAAATGGTGATAATCTGCTAGCCTTTATGTAAATTTATATAGTCACTATGAATTGTTACAAACCTTTCAAGTTTTTTACCTAAGGCTTTTAGTGTCTTGAAGCAGTTAAAGGGTAAGAGAAAGGTTTTCCCATAAGTGTTTTTAAGGTAGGAGGACATGGAGTCATAATAAAAACAGACTTACTAATTTGGGCTTCTGTGAACATAAAATGTTCAAAAGAGAAGTTCAGAAAAGGCAGGTGGAAAATTTTCAGCAGATGAACATTTAGGATAGGTAAAAGCAGAGGTGCTTTAATTGAAGAGATCATTCTGCAAACTTCTATTGATATCAAACAGTTGAAATTCAGCAAATGCCACAATACTTTTGACAAGTAATGAAAAAACCAGAGGTTTTCACTAATAGTGCACAGCTAAAGTTCACTGGCACCTCACTTATTCTCACTGGTGTTGGTTACCCACTCTTAGTAGTGGTATAATAGAACTTGGAAAGTGTGTACAAAAGAGCAACACAAATGGCAGAAGAATAAAACAGCTTTTCTATGAGAAATAATATACTAAATTCTGTAGCCTGAACAGAAACCTGGTAACTTCTTAATGTTCTCAAATGTTAGGAATTATTGAGGAAAAGTGAATTGATTTTTGCTGTGCCATAACACAAAAAGTATCAACTGACAAATAAGGCAATACGTTTTAAATGATCACAAGAAAGCTCTTTCTTTTACACATAAGATATTTTACACCAAGATTTTTATATCAAAATATCCCAAAAAGGCTTATCCTGATTTCCAGAGGGTGTATGAGGTAGGGCTGCAAACAGGTTCAAAGTTGCCAGGTTGTGAAAGCTAGGCCGTGTCACATAAGTGATTGCTGTGTTTGTTGTGCTTTTATACTTCCCCTTTTATACTTTTCTGTCTGGTTGTCATTACATGTAAAGATTTTAGCTAATTTTGGCCACAGCCATGCAAGTACATATTACAGATAGGAGCAGCTCAGTATACTTCCAGTCAAACTTGCTTGTATAAAATTTGCTTGTTTGAAAAAATGTTGAACTGCGGTTGTGGAAGGTCAGGTTTATGTTCAGGAAGACTGTTGTATTTAGGGGTCACCTGCATTTTTTTACAAAAGAATGTGAATAAAGAGAAGGTTCTGTCTGTCTTTAATTTGGGAAGAGTTAAGTGGGTTGAATATTTGCATACTATCCAGTGAAGTTAATGCTTTATGTTTTTCAGTTGCTGTATTTCAAAGATACAGTCCTAATCATTTTGGAAATAAGAATTCACTTAAAATTTTGCATTCTTAAAATCAATAATATTAGACTGTTTAAAACTACATTTTTTACTTTGAATAATAGAGAACAATTGAATTTCCAGCTCTTTGAGAGTATGTATTTTAGAGAAAGCTTTGTGAATTGTAGTCTGCTCTGCTGCTGAATGAAGACTTTGAGATTTCACCATTTAAATGAAATTACAATGATTTTGAGGAATGATAAATTAGAATAATGAACATTAAAAATTCAGAAAAATTATACACTTTGTACAACTATAATGTGTATCTAAGTGAGCATGAAAGTTAATGTGTTGGTAGGATAATTTACACAAAGAAAGAGTTTACAAAGAATGGTCTGTGTTTTGTGTATACAATGGCACTTGGAATTCTTTTTCTTGTGTTTTGGGTTGGTTTTTTTGGTTGGGTTTTTTGTTGTTTGTTTTTTTTATTTTAAGATCTCATTGATGGTTAAGAAGTTGTGGTGTATTAAAATGAACATAGATAGTTCTTTGGCTGCTATTTCACCTGCTATATCCGGAGCTGAGCTTTTCTGGAGGTTTTACTGTCTGGTTTGTAACCTCCTCTTTACTTTCTTGGCTGCTGTTTCAGTTTTGTTTTATTCCCCTGCTTCATCTTCTCCCCTTATTTTCTGCAATTATGTTTAAAGGAAGATATCAAACTTCAGTAATAGCTTGAATGCATTTCAGGAGCTTTCTAATATTGCTCAGGGCGGTAGTAAGATAATCAGTACCTGGAGTTGGGAGAGAAGGCATGACTCTTGACATGCATTGTTGTCTCTATGTTTGCAATGTATAAAGTGTGTGATGTTTGGAATGTTACTTCAGTGAAGGTACTGTAGGATGAAGGGTTGATCTATTTATGGGCAGTTATTGTGGAGGGAGTGCCATGGAGTGCAGAGGTACTGAGTTTGGGTCATGACCTCTATGTGAGGACATCATCCAGTCTTGAAAACTTGATTGAGAAAGAAGTGATAGTGGTCTACAAACCATGACAGATGTAAGTCCAAACTGCCTTGTCCCATTGAAGAACCAGGGAGTACCCCAGGTAAATCTAGTAGAAACTGTATTTCAGATAAAGGCAGATGATTCTTCAAGCATGAACTCTGGATATAGAAAATTCTAGAAGAAGAACTTGAAGACTGCATGTCCATTTCAGTAAATCCTTGGAATGAACATAGTTGGGAGAATATCAGAGAAGAAAATAATGTTTATTTGCCCTCTTCTTATTTATCTCTGAGCATCTGCTTTCCACCCCTGTTGAAAATGGAATACTAGGCTAGACTGACCATTGGTCTGACTATGAATAAATGTCCTGATTTTCTTACACATCTTTCTCAGCAAGTTAATGGATGTCAGAGTGAGCTTGATTAGTGGTGGATATTCTTTTACAAAGTTCACTCTTACATAATTTTCATATATCTGCAAAGTGAAGGACTTCATATCAGTAATAACTCTAAACCACCTCATTATCAAAATCATGTTGCTTTTGATTAGATAGGTTTTTTATTATTCCTGACAGTTTCATTTTTTTTTTGCAATTTACTTGAAATTATAGCTTGCATGAGTTTGCAAGTTTTAGAATCAGAGAAATTGTGTTGCTTGTAAACCAAGGTATGAGTTGAATTTAATGAACTGAAAGAGGTTTCACAGAAAGTATTAGGTAGGGGCAGTGGTACATTGTTTCTGCCCAAGCTAGAACAAGTTCCTACCATTTCATTCACAACCATTTCCCTGTTTATCAGTGCTCAGAAATGCCAAGTATGACAAAAATGTTGGAGGGCAACTTCTCTTGCAGTGAATGGGTTCAGTTGTGTTCAATTATAAAGCAGCAGAATCTGACATGGAGTTGGGAAGATAACAATCACTGATTTTGTAACTGAGATATTTGAAATTTAACATGACCTGGAACATCAGCACCTGCAAAAGTGATTAATCTTAATTAGCATAAAGCTTATTGACTAGAAGAGATAAGTGTAATTCTGAATGATTAGAAAATTGATATGTAAATGTGTGGGGTTTATTTTTTGTGTATTAACCCATATCACCTGTTCTAAGGTGACCACATGGCTGTATGTCTTAAGGAGACACAACAGACTGTCTTGCAAACCTTGTGATGAGTTTTGTGTTCTATACAAGATGCTGTGCATGGTGATTCTGTGTAGATTACTTTATTCAACAGTTGTATTCTTTAATTTCATATTAGTGTATTTGGGTTAGTAGATAGTAGAGTGGATTGGTATCTCTTAAAGGAAATGCCATTCTAAGTCGCAACATCTTTCTGACAGCAGAGGTGGGATCATTAATATTTTGTGGATGGGGTGGGATTTACTCAACAGTATTGTATAATGAGTGAGAAGGCAACTTGCAGAAACTTGTGCAAGATGTATTTACAATCAGTTAAATTTGTTTGCTGCTGTTTATTATTTCAATTTCTGTTTTTTCAGATGTCAGATTATTTTTTATAATAGCAACAGGGCTGTGTTTTACATTTCATGTGTCTGAATTCTAATCTTAATATAACATTTCAAAGGTGGTGATACATGTGAGTATCTTCTGTCCAGTGGGAGATTTCTTGGAGAAAAAGTATGGCAACCTCACAGTTGTATGATGCATAAGTATAAAAATAGGTAAGAAAACTCATGTCTTCTGTTTATCTGGAAAGAAGAGTCATTGTTGTTTGACTGCAGCTGTAGTAATTGCTGTAATTGTAGTAATAGTGTCATCTATTGTTCACGTCATATCTGATTCTCTAGGCTTTCAAAAGTATACACCATTTATGAGAAAGAAGTCTTTTCCAAGTACTTTATCTGTGTTTCTACAGTGTTTACCCTAGTTGTATTTCTGTATAAAAATACAAATAAATGTTGGTGATGGAGGTACTGGCACAAGTTATGGAGAGCCACATGAGGCTGCATATGTCTCAGATTGCTGACCTTATGTGTCAAATTGCAAGTAAAAATATCCCAAATAAAATTACCTATTACTTTTTTCACTTCCTAGTAAGAGAACTATTTTTTTTTTTTTGAGTTATGCTGTATATTACCATTTTGAAGCAACTGTATTTGTAGCACACATAGAAAAACCTGCTTAGTTGTTTCCCTAATCACATTAGCAGGAGAGTTCATTTTCAATTCTGTGTAAATTGCAATATACTGTTTATTAATTCAGCATGTTTAAAAAAAAATAATCATGCCTTAGAGCTGTATATAACGTTTAGAGTTATCTATATAGCTCTGTAGATTTTGAGAATACTTCTTTCTAAGGTATGTATTTTCTGTAATGTTGCTGTTTTGTTTTACAGTGAAGCAAAAAATTGCCTCATAGACAAACATGTTGTGTTTATAGGAGATTCTAGAATTCGACAGCTGTTCTATTCATTCATAAAACTGATAAATCCTCAAGTCAAAGAAGAGGGAATTAAGGTGAGATAGCTTGTTTCTTTATTCCCAATTTACCTCATAAATCTTGTCTGAACTTTAAAAAAGCAAATTATATATTGCTGGCCTATCCATGTGAAAGGAAAAGCACAGAAAGGTATTTTGAAGAAGAACAAGATAAGACCAAAATAATTGTCTGGGTGCACATGTGATAATTGCAAATCTGAGAAAAGAACTGGAAGTTCAAGAGAAAGCTTGCAGCAGCCTTGGAATAAATTAATTAAACTGACTTGTCCCATAGCAATTTGTGTTTTGTATTTGGTTCCTTGATGAGAAAATGATTGCTCCTTTGTGTTTTTTTAAATAGTAGTAATTCATGCCTTCTAATTTGTCATTTAAAATGTCAGGTAAATTGCTGATCTAATCTGTTAATAAAAATCCTTGGGGCAATGACAGATTTCCAGGTTTAACTTGAAGCTTAAACTAAAAATATCCTCAGGTCTCATCTTCTTTTTGATCCCTGATGAAGAGCTGTCTGAATTTTATAATGTGAAGTATGTAAACTGCAGCCAGGTGGAAGGAGGAAGAAAGGATTTAGGTGTATCGTTTGTTGAACAGAATGCTGATTTCTTTTGTTCTCTGATACTTGTTAGCACATGTCTTCATAGATGTATGTACATATGTGATGGAAGAGACATCTTTCAACAGTACATCAGATTTGTCAATTTAGTACTTCTGTCACTTAAAAGTGCAAGCTGGCAGCTTGTCCAGCATACAGCATGCAATCACTTCCACTTGTCAAAAAAAATATGTTTGATTGATCTAAGAACTCTGGTTTTCTTAGTTAATTGGTTAGGTCACTCATGCTGCCCAAAAATATTGGTGTGATGATGAGTGCTGTAATGGATTTTGAGAGTATTTTTTGTCAAGTGTTATTGAAATCAAGATCTCAGTTTGAAAAAGAGAAGTACACTTGTTGTTATGGACCAGTACCAAAATGAATACTGTATTTTATAATTTTAAAGGAGTATTGTATATGCATATCTGATTCTTTCCTTTCTGATTTTTTAAAATTTTCACTCAGAAAATTTAATAATCGATTCTAGATTTTATTTCTGCCTGAGATTATTTTCTTTTATTCTTTAATTAAAACTGTGTTGGTTGTTTTGTGTAAAGGAGATGGGCAGATGAAAAGGTTGGAATAAGGCAGTATAAGAAAAGAAAAGAAAGAGGAAAAGTCATAAGTTTTTCTTATGCTGGAAGGCTAAGTTTAGGACAGCATTTGATACCTTTGTAACAGAGTGAGCAGAAAGCATTTCAGACTTTGTTGGCTAGATTGCTTCCAGGAAAAATAACAGTTTATTTTAGTAGCTTTTTTTATCAAGAGAGCAACATAAATATTTTGCGTGAGTACGCTGACAAGTTTATACAAGAAAAATCCTTTCTGCTGAAGATAAATATTGCAAGTTAGCATAGGTATGTAAATATTTTGTTTTCATTCTGGAAGTTTTTCTTACTTTGTTTTTACTGTTTTGGGGTTTTTTGACAGCATGGAAATATCCCGTTTGAAGATAAATCTGCTTCAATTAAAGTGGTAAGTTTTTATCTAGTGTTAAATTGCAAAACATAATCATGTTATTATTTCATACAATATGATTGAAAATGCTGTCAGAGCTGAAAGTTAAAAGAAAGTTAAGACAATTGACATTCTTTATAAATGTTTCACAGTACATCTTAATGTACTATATTTTAAGAGAATTTGGCATGGAGTACTTGTACTGTGGCTTAGTTTTGGGCATAAGCTCTGGAACTGTGTATAATTTTTGTCAGATCTTACAATTTGGCCTTTCCAAGCATACCCTTTGCCAGGAAGTTTGTTCTTTTCATGCTGTAAAAATATATATCTGAGTCTCTTTGGATTGGTAATTTTTCATTTCCATTGAGTTTTCTATGCTAGCCCGACAAGTATTCCTTCCACTGTTTTTGCATGCAGAAATAAGCACAATGTTGATTATAATGTGGATATTTTAAAAAAGAAAGTACTTGAGTTTAGTTTTTCTGAAGGACTCTGTTCTCCTCTGCCCTGGCAACAGAGATGCTGTCCTCAATAGTTTTCTTTGCTTCCCATGACAGCTGTCAGCAGTGCTGGCATTGTGCTAGTCATGTATTTATTTATGCCCTGAAGAAAACTCATTCTCTATTCACCAAAACCAAAGCATCAGTGTGTTTGCCGAGTTGTCTGAATGTGGGTTTTCAGTACTTGTTTGTGTGCATGGAAAAGATTTAGGGTACAGAATAACATTTTGGGGTGGTAAGCCCATAGCAATTTAAGCATGTGCTGACCTACTCTGTTGGGCCTCACAGTGTGTTCCTGTGTTTGTGCTGTAACTAGCGCAGGTAAGCTGTGGAGTGGGTTGTTTCAGGAGTCAATTCAGCCAAAAAGTTACTTTGTAGGATTCCTTTTCAGTCACCTCTGATGTGGTTCATCCTGTAGTTATCAGAATGCTAGAAAAGATGGGACAGAACACAAGGCCAGGAGGAAGGGGTTTTTCAGTGTGATTTGCATTGGGCTAGCCTGACAGAGTCACATCTTCAAAACTCTAACCACCAAGATTTGAGATGGCAGTTCTGGGCTTTTGGGAGATGTCTGATAGTTAATGTATTCCCAGTCTGCCACTTCCTTGTTTTGGTGCAGTGCTGCTCTTTGACATTATTGGCATGGTAGCTAAATTTCCATATTCAGACTGGCTGTGACCCAATAATCCAAATGTGGAAAATACTTGACCATCAGAAGAGAAGATTACTGGGAACAAGTGGAGAGTTTAATTCTGCCCTTTTTATTCATCAGAGTAACTCTTCTGTCTTTCAACCACTGTAGAGGATTGCATGATTGCTCACAGGTTCCACAGCCAAATAACGAATTGACAGTACTCAAGTGAACTACCAAAATGTAGCAATCCAGAGGAGTGGAAGATAGAGATTTCCTCTCTGCTGATAGTGTTTTAGCACTCTGTTACAAAGTTTCCTCACAACAGTTTCTGCATGTGTAGCCCCTGCCATTTCCCTTCAACATGTATTTTTAGGCTATTCAATAGTGCTGTCCTGAGGAGTAACTAAATGCTAGGAAGTCATGGCTTTCCCTGGGGGATATGAAAGCACTAGTCTATATGTCCTTCTAGATGAAAGCTTAGCAGTGCTCCAGCAATCTAAAAGAATTGTTAGGTTTTGATTTTGTTTGAAAATTATGATTTCATGCTATCAATTATTTTAAGCTATGAAACAAAGAAAATCTGCTAGTAAGGATGTGGAAAACTGAGCAAAAAGCAAGTTCTAATAAGTTATATATATAGTTATATGGATTTATACCTGATTGCAGTAGAAACCCAAACCAAATGTCTGTCATTTGTCAGACATTAAAGAAATACCTTCTTTGTGAAATTCCAACTCCTGAACTACAAATAAAAATTTGTTTTTTATGAGGGAAGAGTTTTGTGGATTTGTTGGCTTCTTCTGCTCTTTTTTTCTTTGCTTTCTGTTTTCCATGCTGGAGTAAGGTATCAGGCTGTTCATGCTAACTATAAGACTCTGAGCCAAATGTTTTTCATTTACAGTTGAATTGATGGCAATTAGTTTGGTTTTTTTGCATTTTTTGGTTTTGGTCTACTGATTGTCTTTTAAGCTTGCAGAGTAACACTGCCTTTTGTTTACAGGATTTTCTGTGGTACCCAGAAGTTAATGGCTCTATGAGGCAACGTATCAAATCTTGGACTGAGGTTTGTTTTAAGAGATGTATAATTTGACTTTAAAGTGGTGAAAAAGGGATGTTTACTGCTGTACATGTTTCTGGGTATCTCCTGATCTTCTGAGGATGTTATCACTTGGACCTTAAAAGACCCCTAAGCAAACTCGAAAAACTCTACTTCATAGGGGCAGGTTAATTAATCCTATTAAGAGCTAAAAGAATTTCAGTCTGGTTTGGCATTTTACTTCCTCTGTGGCTGCAATGACTCCACTTTAATGTGAACAAATATTTTAATCCTTATGGGTCCATTCCAACTGGAGATATACTATGATTCTATGATTTTGTATATATTTTGTATATTTGAGCATTTCAGAGTGAAGGGCAAAGGTAATTTGCAAAGTCAAGAATTCTTTGATTTTACTTGTTTTCAATATCTTCCTCAATTAACATACAATTAATTCAGGTGTTTCAGTTATGGTGCAGGCTGTCATATTATTCTGTGCGTAACTCTGCTGACAAGTAATACATTTACAGATTGCCGACTAATTTTTTCTTGTTTCTTCCATTGTTGACCTTTTAATAGCCTGGAGTTATTTAGTAGTAGCTCACTGTGATTATTTTGATATCCTGTTGATCATTCTTGCACAACACTTTCCATCAGGATAGCTGAAGTTATCATTTGGTTTTCTTTTTCTATGGTTTCTACAAAAATTGAGAGCTGCTGGTTTTCCTTGCTGTGCTTGGATAAAATTGGTACTGAGGACTATTTGTTTCCTTGTGCTCTTTTGTTTGAGTACACTGGCCCTTGTCCTACACAGAGCTGTCACGCACCTCTGGGGTGACAATGGTCAGTGCAGTAGCTCAGAGGTTTGACAATGCTGAGACTGAGGTAAAAAGTTCAATAACATGATCTACAGTTTATTTGACCTTAGAAGAGGATGTTTAAATAGCTTTTAAAGAGAAGTTATGCTGCTAAATTGATCAGGATTATAGGTGCTTTTTGATACTTCATGCTTTTGTAGATTCTATTATGTGAAAATTAAGGTCTCTTGCATATATCAGGTGTAGATTCTCTGCATAGATCTGCAATCTACTCTTTTGTAGCCATTAGCTGATGGGCAGGTGAGTCACAGTTAATGAAGATATGAGTCTTAATAATAAATATAATTTAATAATATTTTAAAACTAATTCCTTTTTTGTTTGTTTGTTCCATAGGGTTCTGTGGCAAAACCTCATATAATTGTAGTAGGAGCTGCCACGGTAAGTTATACATATATAGGGGATTTTAGTGAAGAAGGAAGTTCTTGTAGGATAACTTTAATGTTCTCAAGCTGGCTACACGATCAAGTTGTTAAACACAGTTTAGAGTAAAATATCTATTCTCAGTGAATTTGCTGTTACAAAAAGTTCTAAAATATCAGGTATGCTTTATTATACCTGTGTAATGTACAATACTTGCTTTTTGTCAGCAATACTGGTTAATAAGCATTAACTTGCTTTAACCTAGCTAATAAAGTGGGTTTAGTTAAAAGCAGATTATTAATCTTAAAAGTTAAATAAAGTATTTGCTTACTAACTGAAGTGTATTTTTAATACACCTTTTTCAGTCACAAAATTCTACTTTTGAGCATGGCCCAGTTTGGGATGGTGTCTTTCACCACACGTATTTCTTTTATATATATGTATATATATATATGGGTAAAAATCATAATTTTACGTGGCTAATTTAGCAACTAAAGAGGTTGGAATTCTGGAATCTTGTTGTACTGGAAGATTCCACCACTGATATGCATTGCAGCATCACAGAAAGCAGGGCAGCCAAATACCAGGTGTCCTAACCCATCAGTTTACCACCAGGCAGGACATTTCTACCTGTGTTGCACTTGGCAAGAGTCAACCAATTCTTTAAAACTTCCAGGGATGGAATTCAGCAAGCCCCCTTAATTAGTCTGTTCTAATAACAAAGTCAAATCAATCAAATCTCATTATTTCCACATTTAATGTCCCTTACTTCCAAATACTTGGGAATTGGCATTTGGAAAGAATTAGCTAATTTATTTTCAAAGGAGCTGAAATTTAAAGGTGGGGAAATGTATTGCATTTAAAACAAAGTCCTTGAAACACAGTTTGTTTTAGAGACAGTTGAGGCACTTCACCAATCTGGAAACTTTTGGGCATGCCCATCTATAGATGAACTCCCTCAATTTTAAGAGGCGGTCATGTCTCTATGTAGCACTCCACACATTTCCTGAGATGTAAAAAATTCTCCTTTTCCTTTAGGTGAACCCCTAAGTTCCCTTCCTCCGTAGGGTCCACATAAATATTTGAGCTTTAGGAATTGTAGTAAGCCTAGGATATAGTTTCTCAGTCTGAGACTGTAGCATTTATTATTAGGATTAGTCATTGTATTCCATATAGAAAATGCCATAATATATGGATAATGTTCTGGCATGCAGAAGGTCAGGTTGCAAAACTACAGTACACTTAGCTAAATAATTCCCTTTACTCGTATGTATATATTAGCCATAGCTTGTTGCCTTTTGTGGACAGCAGGAGATAGAAACTAACAATATGCAGGGGAGGCCCTGCTGTTTTTAACACTAGTATATTTTTACAAAGCATTTAATATGATTATCTAGAGATGAACAAAGATAAACATCCTCTATTTTAAGGGACTTCCAAAAGAACCAAAGCTTCAAAAATCAGATATATCAGCAACCTCATCATAGCTAACACTGGTGTGGTAACCTGCTACTAGGTTAAACTGGTATGTGCTCTTGGACTTTGTTGCATTTTAAAATTTACCTATATATCTTTTAACTTAGCTGTTGGGTTGGTCATGCTACTTTGGCCTGGGCATGTCTGTCTTAAGATGTCAACTACATAACAGTTTATAAATAGAAGTAAAGTCTTATAAGCTGAAGGAGCTCCAGCTCATGAAAAAGTCAGTTGCTTGCTTATTTTGGGAGAAGGAGCTTCTCTGAGAATGTCACTACTGTGCTCTGCTTCTTAATTCCTGACTTCATGTTGTATGGAATGTGCTGCTTTAACTGTCTGTTAAATACTGTTGGTGTTTCAAATTAAGTATTTAGCTGCTGGGAGAAACTGCTGCTTTTTTTCCAGTGTGAGTTCTCAGAGCAGCTGTATGTTATTTGGTTTCATGAAGTATTAATTTATATTGAATAATATTTTCAGGAAATGCATTAATCATGCACTTGTCTTACAATGAATTTTTTATGTGGCTATTTAGAGATAAATAGAGTTTGCTACATTTAGGCTAATTGTAATGGTTTTGCTTTTTTTAGTTTTTACTAAGTCAGTTGAGATACAGTAACACTTTAAAAGAAAGCTGCCTCCATTTTTCATACAGTGGGGGAAATAATTTTCAAAAGTTAGGAGCAATTCTTGAGTGGCTATAGCATTCTCCCAGGGGTTTCCTATAGAAGATTAAACCAGAAATTAAAATGGCTCTTGTTCAGTTTTTTGGGTTTTTTTTTCCCCTTTGTGGATATCTGCAAAACAGATGGAACTTGATACCACCATCAAGTTTTGTTTGCATGCATCTCTTGCTGTAGTCAGTCTAGAGGGGAATTGATTGAACTGGCCAAGATTTTTCAATAGCAAACCAGGAGACTTCGAATTAAAACATCTTGTGTCATTTAATTTATGAAAAGTCAAATATACACATAAGTTGAATGTTAAATACTCTTTATTTGGATGGTGTGGTTGCATGAAATTGTCTGTCTGGACAGCTGCTTGGTCCAAAAGAATTTTTAACACTTTTGAATAGAAAACTGAAGAAATCTAGCTATATAGAAATAATAAAGTTAGCTACAAATGGAACAAGGGAATCAATTAATTGAGAGTCCTCAGACATACATGTTCTGAATTTATTTCTGTTTTTCTCCAGTGGTCTATCAAGATTCACAATGGCAGCAACGAAGCCCTTGCACAATATAAAATCAATATCACTTCAATTGCACCTCTTTTGGAAAAATTAGCAATAAGTAGTGATGTTTACTGGGTCTTACAAGGTAAAGTAATGAACAGTAGGTAACAATTTTTAACCTCACTGTCTGTTGAATCATTATGCTGTAGGATATTGAAAACTTAATCCATACTGTTTACTTGCAGATTGAAAAAGATGTTGGTTGAGCTTCAGTCTATCCTTTCTTGCAATCATAACTAAGCTGGTACCTAAATAGCTGCTTCTACTGATAGAGATTTCAAAGCTCTAGCAGGAAAAACTTCTGCCTTATGAACTCTTAATTCTTTGCTAGCTTACTCTCAGACTCAACATGGAAGGTCTATTCTCCCTGTGCTGTGCTCCATACATACCTCCTGGGAGTCAAGAACACATATGCATGCAACAGCAGTATTCCTGTAGTTCTGTTCAGTTGAATTTTCAGATTATATTAATAATAGAAGAGCAACCTCTTGTTCAACAACAAGTGCACCCTCTGTGTCTAGAATGGATACACTGTTGAAAATATTAAGAATTTAAATCTTTAGAATGAAACTTGTTTCTCTACGCTCTGACAAGAAATCATGGCTCACAATGAGTTAGTGAGATTTTTATTATATCACCAAGCTTAGACTGTTTTGCTTTTCTTCAATAAAACTAAAATATTTCCCTGAAACATGAGCTCATAGGTAGAATGTTCTCCTGGTTTCTCTGCCACAGGACTTACTATTTTAGATTGTCATCACCTTAGTTAGAAACATAGGCAGATTTTGAGCCCTGTTAGCAATATACCCAGCTGTACCCTTACACACACATCCAAGCTCCTATCAAAGATGGTTCTAGAGGTAAATCTGAATCAAGAAATTAGTCTCCCATTCCTTTCAAAACCATGTTTTTTTTATACCAGAAGCAGTTAGCTGTCAGATTGTCCCACCATGGTACTGTTAAGGACCTAGCCCATTTACATAATCTCCAAGCTCTTTAATGGCCCAAGTAGGAGGATAAGCAGTCTGTACAGAGTTGTCAAGACATTGATTATCCAAACATAGGCATGATGTACCTAAAGTAAATAAATCTGCATCTCACAGAGTGTGTCACAGCAGGAGCTTTTCACAGGAACTTAAAGACCTGTAGCTGACCCCATATCACTTTTTTTTAAGCTTTACATGATTTCTGAAGCCTGTAGGCAATTAAGTTGATTTTTTTTCCTGTAAAACTGAGATTCTCCCATAAGTTAAACTGGAATCAACAGAAGCAAGTGGAAAATATTTATGGCCTATGAGAAGTGAAGAGCTGTTTTGTTTTTTTTTTTCCACAGAAGAAAAGAGGGTTTGAGAAAGTTGGTGGGTTTTTTAAATGTGTCTATTCTGTTGCCTGTCTTCTGCCCTTTTTCCTTTGGAGTCTTTTCTTGGGTGATTCCATTGCTGAGAGAAAGCATAAGCAGCTCTGCAGTTTAGCATTATCTGTTTTTCCTGGATTCAGAGAAGTTAAAGCAAGCACTCATGTCTGGCCAGAGCTTTCTAACCTACAACTCCATATGCATTAATAGGGAATGGTGATAAGAACATTTTGCGATAAACAGCTCTTAAATGAAAGTAGCCTGTGCAACTTGAGCTAAGGAAACTAATTGATAAGTACAAGGTTAATGTGTTCATTCTTTGTCCTTCGAAATTCAGATCCTGTTTATGAAGATATGCTGAGTGAAAGTCGGAAGATGATCACTAATGCGAAAATAGATGCTTATAATGAAGCAGCTGTTCGTATTCTGAACAGCAGCTCTCGAAATTCCAAAGCTAAAGTTAAAGTGTTCAGTGTATCAAAATTGATAGCACAAGAAACTATCATGAAGTCTGCAGATGGCCTGCATCTCCCTGAATCAAGCAGAGATACAGTAAGTGTTTTTATCACTGGTCAACATTAAAAGTATTAATAGTAAAACAAGATCTGAAATGAATGTTCTGCAACTGCAATCAGTATGGATGTAATGAGGACTGCATTCATCAGGGAATTTTGTTCAGAAAATTCCAGTGGGTGGGAGTCCAGTCGCTTTTATAGGGATTTTAAAAAACTTAATAGCAAACACATTAGTGCATAACCATTTTAAAATGGCTGTTAATCCACTAGATCTTTCAGATCCTGAGTGCAAACTTCATGCTTTCATGTGTATGAATGATTTAAGGTGGTAATGACTTGTAAAGCAGTGCTGAGAAGTATTTCTTAAATTTCCCCCTATGTGTCCAGAAAATTTGCTTTGGTAAGGAGCATGAAGAAGATAACAAACATACAGTATAGATCTCCCTGGCTGCATGGAGTGCCTCTAACTTTATTCCTTCTCTTTTACTAGCCAACATGTATATGCATGCAGTGAGCCTCTCTGAGCTTTTCAGCCTGCCCTTTTTGTGAAAGAGCTCTCCCATTATGTCACTTTTGGTTCAATTTCTTTTCAGGTTTAAGTTGCTTTAAAGTACTGGATGAACTAAATGTCATCTTACCACATGTTTCAGTCTCACCGTCATGTTTTAGAGATTTACATTACTGTGCCCCTTTAGAACCCAAGTTTGTGATCTGTTTTTCATTTACAGACCTTCTACTAGTAGAGGGAGCCCTCCTTTTCCAAGATTAGCCATTTTTGCTTACCTCTGGAAGTTTAAGTATTTTTTGTTTGGAAGAAGTGTTTTGACTGGACTGTTGAATGCAACTTGGTGTATTGTGGAACTGGAAGATTTTATTTTTGTAATGATAAGGGAGAATTGCATGTCTGTCAGCACATGATGCAGAAGAAAATTTCTTTTGATGAAAATGTTAACTTTTTTATTAGAAATTAATTGCTAAAACTGTTTTTTTTACAGAATGCAATGATTCTTATGAATGTCTACTGCAATAAAATAATGAAGCCCATTGATGGCTCCTGCTGCCAGCCTCAGCCTCCTCTTACTCTGATACAGAAGATAGCTTTCTGTTTCTTTACTTTGTCCATTTTTGGATATTTAATTATCAGCTTAATTCATCGGAATAATTATCGGAAGAACAAAACATGCACTGATTTGGAAAGCGGAGAGGAGAAGAAACCTGCCATCAGCACACCTAATGTTTCTACTTTAGAGATGCTCTTACACTGCTTTTGCAAACTTGGTCTAATCATGACCTATTTTTATCTGTGTGACAGAGCAAATCTTTTCATGAAGGAAAATAAATTTTACACACATTCATCTTTCTTCATACCAATCGTCTATATCTTGGTTTTGGGGGTATTTTATACTGAAAATACCAAAGAGGTAATGATCACATTGACATCCCACTTAAAACATTGTTTCCTAAGTTGTATGTAAAATAACCCATTTCTAAGTATTCAAGGTTAATTTTTTGAAGTCAGTATAACTCGCCTGCAAAAAATATGGTATAATGTTTGCATATAATTAGATGCAAAGGCTTTTTGAAGCCACATGGATTGTCACCACTTTAGTAATTTTCGCTCTTTCAAACTGGAATTGATCAGAGCTCAGCTGGAAAAGAATTTAAATCATGTTAAATTTGTGCCTAGTAGACAAGACTTTTGCAATTGAGACCCATTTACCCATAAATTGGTTTATTGTTTGAATTTTTTCTCCTCATTTTATAGATGTTCCTTGTTCTTTTTGGAATAGCAACACTCTTGTTTTGTTTTACATTAGACTAAAGTGTTAAATAGAGAACAGACTGATGAATGGAAGGGCTGGATGCAACTTGTTATTTTGATTTATCATATCTCTGGAGCAAGCACTGTAAGTGATTTGAATTTCTTTTGTTTTTAGGGGGAATGCAATTTGTATATGTTATTTCAAAAGAAAGATAGTGTAAATGGGCATTAGATCTGAATAGAATGAATAAATAATGCTATTGTTTCTATAGTTTTAAACATGGTATTAGCAGAGTTAGTTTTTCTCTCTAACTGTAGATTTAATTGATAAAATCATTCTGTACATTACTTGACCAGTAAAAAAGTGTTTCCTCTGTGTAGAATATTGCATTAATTTATTTTTAATTGCTAGCGACTTGAAACTGTTGAAGGTGAGCTTCCAAAGAGTGTTTCTTAAGTCTCTCATAACTAGTAATAGAATGTGGCAAGTGTAGAGCAATAAATTGAAAAGATTGATTTTAACATCAGAGGTTAGGACACCAAAAGAGCTTAGTAAGAAATGGGGCAATGTACTATAGTGTTCCTTTTCTTAAAAGTTAAATCTGATTTTCTGTGATGCAGAAATAGCATAAAAGAGGGGGGGGGAAGGAAAGCCAAAAATATTTATGTGGACATTTATAAAAGGTACTTTATTTCTCTCAACAGTTTTTGCCTGTGTACATGCACATTCGAGTTCTGGTTGCTGCATATCTGTTTCAAACAGGTTATGGGCACTTCTCATATTTTTGGGTAAAAGGGGACTTTGGTGTATACAGAGTGTGTCAGGTAAGAATATCTGCCTACAATTTTTATAAATGAATTTGTCAGATAGCAAGATATCCATAATATATCCATACTCTCTAAATAATGTGACATCAGATCACTTAACCAAGGTTTAAACAATGAAAATGGCTGTTGTGTCTATGTAATCTGAGCTGTTTGATTGGTAGTGTTTGTCTAATACGTACTTAAACTGTATAAATGATACTTACAATGTACAAACTGCCAGTATTTACACTTCTAAATTACAAGACAAGTATTTTCTAATAAATAGCAATTCCATTGCAGTAGCAATGTACAGTATATAGCAATATGTAAGTAATGAGCCAGATGGGCTTCCAAAGACAGTGGACTGGAGCCTACATTTATTAATAAAGAAAAACAATTTTCACACCATAATAACACTGACAACATACCTGGTTTTGTGGCTTTTCTCCTAGTTTTGCAGCATATGCTGTAGTACTTTAATTTTTTTTCTAATACATATCTTTTATTGCCGTTAGGTCTTGCGTTATCCTGTAACTCGGGTCATTGTGCTTATTAAACGTACGTTTACAGCCTGGTGATGGCATTATCCTGGCTTTAACTGAGCTAGCCTAGGTAGCTTTTGGGGGTGAAAAAAGAGACTTAATAATTAACAGTATCCAGCAACTGGAGCACTTGGTCCCCAGCCTGGGAAGTAGTCAGATCAGATTGCCCCTATTTTCATTGCAGTCTCTACCCAAGCAAGTCAGGGTAGGACAGGTCCAGAACCACATTATGAGTCTACAGTCTTATACTGCTCTGCTGATGTTCCCTGTGCTACTTTACCCATGTTTCAATGTAAAATACATAGATATTTTTGTACAGTGCTAAAGGAACATTTCCTCATCTTTCTCAGCTTTGCCTTCCAGTTTACATATCCTCTGTCTTCTCTCCTCTGACAACCCCCAGGTTTTATTTCGTCTCAATTTCTTGGTTGTGGTACTGTGCATAGTGATGGACCGACCTTACCAATTCTACTATTTTGTGCCATTAGTCACTGTCTGGTTTATGATAATTTACGTGACCTTAGGTGTATGGCCTCAGATTGTCCAGAAGAAAGCAAATGGTAAGATTTCTTTTTTTCTTTCTGGTATAAAATATGTATGTTATTACAATTATAACATAAAGAAATGGCATTGTAGATCTCAGTTTCTTTGTTAGTCAAACTATGCTGAACAGCTGCTCACAGAAATACAGTTTGTCATAGGTGAATTAGTTCAATTGAAAAATATAACAGGTGATGACTAAACTCTGCCTCTGGTTACAGTCAGATTAGAATACTTTTTAATAGGTTTTGATCAGGAATGTGTTTTGTAAGAATTGTAATTTTACTGAATGGAAATGAGAACCATAGGTTGCACTGACTTTGCTTGCTGGGGCCTAGGCAGTGTCTGTCATGCACTTGGGGTGCAGTGTGAACAAGGAGTGTTTAGACTTTCTTGTTCTGTGTTGCCAAGGTGTCTGTCCAGCTTGAGCACCAATTCTGCCTTAACTGGTGAAATAAGAACATGGGACTTGCTATCCTAGTGTCTTAGGTTATATGAGCTATCAGAAGTATGTCTTGTAGTACAAATATTTTAAATAAAAATTGAAGTGAAATCCCAGTTTATGTGTTGCAGTTCATTGAAAAGCTGTAAAGCATGTGGTAAATGCTTATTATTTAATTTGCCTAAATTAGAATTAAAACCTTAAGGGCCTTAAATCCTCATTCCCTATTGATGGAGGAATATCCCCATTTGATAGCCTGAAGATATGATAATGAAATATACCAAATATATAACAGGAATAGATGTTGCAAAAATACTCTTAAAGAATAGTTAGTTTTACAAGCTATCTTGAAGGCAAATGTCTTCAATTTTTTTTTCTACAAAGGCACTTCTCTTCCAGAAACAGAGAAATTACTCTTGTGTACTTTGGAGTAATAGTGTACTGTGAAACTAGAAAATCTTTCAGTGATGACTTTCAGTTGTTTATGATCCTGTTTACAGCTGCCAGTTTATATGGTCGAAGAGGCAGATGATCTCTGTTGCAATGCTGAGGTTTGGGTAGAGCTTAGTATCAGTTGACAGTTTTGAAAAGTAGTTTCTCAGTCTTGTTTCAACAAGATACTTGTCCTTAATGACCTGCAGTTGTACTTTGGAAAAGCTGTTATCTCAAAGTGTAGTAATATTTACTCATTTCACCTAACAAAAGGCAGGCATTTTTATGTATATATTTATTTACATTCACCTAGAATAAGGACTGCCTGTGCAGAGTGTTTGGGAAAGCAGAGGTTTTAAAACAGTGTTTCTGTCTGAACACCTAAATTCTCTTCTTTATATATTTTGTCCCTGTCTTAGACATGAGGCTTCATTTAGGCTTAATAACTTTTTAGTTGCTGTGAATGTTTATTTTAATGGCTGAAAGTAAAATTTAAATGTAGATAGTGATAAAATATTGTTGGAAATATTTGAACTTTTATGAATGGATCTCTTACAAGGCATAGCTACACTAATTAATTGGCAGCTATTACTTAATGTGTCCTGGGGTTTTATTTTGAAACATTAATGACAGTATAATGATTAATTTATTTCTTCCTCAGGGAACTGCCTGTGGCACTTTGGCTTACTCCTGAAACTGATTTGCTTACTGATATGTATATATTTTCTGTCATATTCTCAGGTTTGTAAATCCTGGCTATATTTATCCTTAATGACCTAAGACTATATTATTACCTGTCTCTACTTTTTGATGTGCTCATAGCTCCAGTATCATAAACACAGAAGAAAAAAAAAAATTAACCTTTTGATTTCTGCTCATACTTGAATTGGTGTGGGTGCTGGGAAAACCCACAACTGTGTGTCTTACTCATTGGTTTGTTATGTTTGACATATTTTCAATGTACTACTGTGAATGTAGTAAATCTGAGGGCCTATGCTTTTGGGTTTGGGGTGGGGTTTTTTTATGTGCTTAGAGTTTCTGGGTTTTGCCAGCATGCATGTGGTGATATGGTGATAATTAAGTTCTGTGTCTCTTAGAGACCTAGTGTTGGCTTTGACACCACATCAAAAGATTGGTTCTCAGGCTAAAGTAGCGACTCCTTGCATGCTGTAAGTGCAGCTGACAGAAGTCAGGACAGAGTTTGTCTCTCCAGAATCTTACAGAGGGGTTGTGTGGTTTTAATCCCTCACTGGTTTTCAGCCTGTTGAACTGTAGTCTTGGAGTGCATATTCCTTATCACAACCTGTGGAATGCATAATCCTTATCACAACCTGTAGGGTGTATATTCCTTATCGCAGACTGTTAATAGGTCTCTCTCTGTGAGGAGCAGTACAAAATGGAAGGTGTGCAAATACCTTAAGGGGAGGCAAAACTCAAACTCTCTCTCATGTGAAGTTTTTTTTCTTTTCCTTTTTTCCTTTATTTTTTTTGGTTTTTTTTGTTTTTTTGTGGGGGAAAGACTTCTAAGGAATCCTGTTGTTTTTCACCTGTTGTTTTTCTAGTGCCATATAGCTAGTGAAATATGGGTAGAATAATATTAAACATGTTATTGATTTAAATTTAGTAAATACAGTTGATGTAGTGTTGATGCTTTTTCCATGTTTATCCTTTACAGGGTGCATTTGAGAAGATATTTTCCTTTTGGCCATTGTCCAAGTGTTTTGAACTGAATGGCAATGTCTATGAATGGTGGTTTAGGTGGAAGCTGGATCGCTACGTATGTAACATTTGCGTAAATTTTTACTTGTCTTTTAAATGTATGTTTTAATCTGTGGGAAGAGGGAGGGTTGTTTTCCTTCCCTCCAGAGGAAACAGGAGTTTGCCCCAGTGTTTAATGAAGGACTAAGCTGCACCCACTTTAGTTCTGCAAATGTCTGTCATTATCATATTTAAAGCCTTGCTTAAAAGATGGAGGTTGATTTATTTGCTTCTGGATTAAAAAAATGAAGTATCTTGTCCTGGATCTGTCTTTTCTCAAAAATTTTACTGTGAAAATTTAACACCTGTAGCACTTCAGGCTGTTGAAAGACAAGGAAAATTACTGTGGTAGCTTTCTTAATAATACTTTTTGGAAGTTGTATCAATTAAGGATATATTTATTTTAAGGTAACATATGAAACATTAAAATCAGGGTCTTGGTGCCCAAACCAGACTACTCTTGCACGTATTTTTAAATTATTTTCCACTGGGAAAGTGCTTTCCTTCCAATTGTTGATCCTGCAGTGTGGGGAAATAGAAGAGGGAGACTTTGCTCTTTTTTCCTTTACTTCTTGGCAAAGGGAAGTGGAGTTTCTAAGATGGAAGCCTTTAAATGCTGAACTTGACCCTTAATGGAAGCCTTTAAATGCTGAACTTGACCCTTAATGGGATTGGTCCCACCTGTGTCCCCCTGGGGCCTCTGAGAGGCCAAGTCTGGGTGGCAGAGCGGTGTCACACCGGGGCTGCCCGGCAGCAGCACACCCTGCCTGGCAGCCCGCACTCACTGCTGGGCTCTGGGAGGACTGTGGGTTGGGTGGTGCTGCTGAAGAGCAGAGCTCAAAATAAATACAGAGGGCAAGCACTGTGTGGGCCTGAAATGGCCTCATGTTGCCAGCTGATGGCAGTTTAGCGTAAGATTGTAAAACACTCTATTGAAGAATTGTGTCTGTGAGAGAGGGAAGCACTTGTCCTGCTTCTTGAATGTTTTCACCTGCCAGTTTGGGAAAAAGCCAGAGATTTGTGGTTTTTCCCCAGAGAAAGCTGTTGGAGTCCAGAACATCCCTCTGGCTGCCCTGGCTGTCTCAGGACCCTGGCAGGGGTCTCAGAGACCTTGGCAAGAAGTGGCTTCGATTTTAGCCTGTGGAAAAAGCTGTCACTTTTATATGAGGAATTACAAGTCACAAGGGTTCTAGTAGTGATATTTGAACTAACACAGGGTGGAAAAGTAGAAATTTGGGGTATTTTAGAATATAATCTAGAGGGTCAAGATGGAGGAATTTGGGCATGTCCTAGCCTTCTTTTCCTTCGTCTTGTCTTCCATGTCTTGGTGTGATGGTGACACTTTTCTATGGGTTCAAGGTAGAGATTCACAGTCTTAACATAGGTCATAGGTATTGGTAAAGAAATTATAAACATACATATGTAGTTCTGAGTATATAATGTGGGATCCACCTGAGGCTTGAGGCAGATTGCCATGGCTTCCTTTCTGGATGGACTTCAGCAGGTCAGAGAAAGAATGTTCTAGATAAGGAAAAACAAACAACCTTGAAAGCGCAATCGGACACATTCCAGGCTCCTTCTTTGGCTGCACGGGCTAGGGAAGAAAAGACTCTTTACAATCTCAGGGGTCACCCTGACCTTCAGAACCCTGAGAAGAATCAACAAAAGCCTTTTCAGTGGTGTCATAGATTGTAGAGGGGATAGTAGGTACTTGAAAGCTTCTTGAAATTTCATTGTTGTGTCTTTAATGCTCTCTGAAGCATTAGTAAAGGATATTTATTTGTAGGTTTTGAGTTGAGTTAAAAATGCAGTCTATGACTGTCTTGTGTAGAAAGTCTGGTTTTGTTTGCTTCAGTAAATCTGGGAAAGGACCTTCTTAAACATAGCTTTAGAACTACTTTATCTGGTAGCATTTCTATTAAGAGTTTATACCTGAAGTACTTGTAAAAGCCATGAAATATTAATTGCATTCTGTTTGTCTTTTGCAGGTGGTTTTTCATGGGATGCTGTTTGCTTTTATTTATCTGGCACTGCAGAAACATCAGATGATATCAGAAGGAAAAGGAGATCCTCTTTTCTCCAACAGAGTTTCAAATGTTTTGTTATTTATTTCAATTGTGTCCTTTTTGGTTAGTATCTATTATAACCTAGTATAATCAGTATAATATCTGAAAAATAAGTTTTTTTAAATTGTTGTTTAGTCAGTAATATCTAACAAACCTTGAGAAATCAATTCTTTATCTGGAGATATTTCAGCTGGGCTTTTCTGTACAGCCCTACCTATCTACTCTCTAAAATATTTCTGTTCAGTCAGATGTAGGTGAAAACATCATTACTCTTTCAGTTTATTTCAAAGCTTAAAAGAAAATTGGATCATAAAAATAACATGGTAGATAACATAGCTCTTATCTCCACACTTGATTGCTAGTCTATTTTTGATGAAAAAAGTTGTATTAAGAATTATTTATCAGAGAAGTATTCATTAGTTGCAAAGAAGAATTTGAGAGAAACATGAAGGTTGTCATGTAGTTTTTTTTCTTTTAGTGTCCCGCATATTAGTGAACCTAATTTTAGTGAATGCTAAAACAATTCAAGATACACTCTTGTTTCATTTTTATATGTACGTATAATTGCTACACAGACTAATTTTTTAATATCTTTTAGACCTACTCTATTTGGGCTAGTAGCTGTAAAAACAAGACAGAGTGCAATGAGCTACATCCTTCTGTTTCTGTGGTACAGGTAATTATTAGTCCTTTTGAATACTGTGATAGAATCTGGTCTGTTCTTATTTGAGCTTTTTTAAAATATATTTGTGCTTTTGCATGGAATGTCAGATATCGAGCTTCATTCCTGTGTCTGAAAGTGAAAAAGTTAAGTAACCTTAGTCAGTTTTTCATTGCCTTTAAGCACTGAAATTGCACACTGTGATTGTGGTTTTGATTTATCTGGATGTCCTTAGTGTAGGTTTCATATGCACCATTTAGATCCAAACCCAGCTTTTGACTATTTGCATAACAGTGGAAGAGAAGAAAGATGTAGAAAAGCAGGAGTTTTGGGGAGGTATTAGTGTAGGAAGCAACTTACAGGACTTCCAGGCAGAGAAGAGGTGTGCCACAGAGCCATGCATGTGGTTTTCTTAAATCTAGATGTTCCTCTTGCCGTGTTCCCTGCCCCACTATACCCCAGCTGTCTCATTCTGTGCCCTGTTTCTTTTCTCATTATTTTGTCCTGCTCTCTTGAGGGGCAGCAAGAGTGACTTAATTTTTAATATTATTTTTTCCATCTTGACACCCTCTCTTTAAAAATTGAGGGTTAACTCAAATTTGTGGCCACCTTTATTTTAGGCTGGCATGGTGTAACATGTTTTGTGACCATGCCTGGGGGGCATGTAGTAACACCTGTCAGCATCAAGGCCATGATTCTACTGGAGATGTAAATGTGACCTTCTATGCTGTGAGCGTTTGTGTACAGTATCTTTACTTTCAATACAACTTTGTTAAGTATAAATGGCATGAATTTTTGTTTGGTTTATATTTTTATTAGCTTTTAAAGAAATTTTAATGCATGATGCACTTAGTGTAGTGAAAATAGATACACCTTTTATGTGTTTGTTTGGCTTGTCATCCACAGTCACTTTCTTTGTTGTACCTTTTTTTAAAAAAAAAAAAACCCAAAGATTTTAGCTTTCATCCTCATCAGGAACATTCCTGGATATGTCCGATCTGTGTATAGCTCATTCTTCGCCTGGTTTGGCAAAATTTCTTTAGAGGTAAGTAGAATGACCAGAAGTACAGTGAATTAAAACTTAGAAATGTAACGTGGTGTTATTGTCTAGATTGGACTATAACACAGAGAAAACATTTATTGGCTTACTAAATACCCTGCTCTTGTGTTTGACCTCTTTTAGCATTATAGCTTTGGTTGCACTTAAAATTTGTGGCCGAAATAGCAGTCTCACAGTAGCAAGCTTAATTCTTGTGCTGGTTTAGGGGGTGGGGTGATTTAAGGTTGTGAGAGTGGGGTTTAAATGCTTATGTATGCTGTGAGATTTATGCAGTTGGAAGATAAAAATTTAGACCAGTTTAAGAATTTGCATTAATTATACTTACTAGTGTAGGTACACTTAGAAACGTGTTTGCCCTAGAAAGCTTTTTGAGACTAATAAAGAAATGAAAATAAGCCCCTTCTTAATGCAAGTTTACCTTGTTCCATTGAGTGTATATTTTGAAACAGTAGGAATTCTTTTACTTTCCATTTTATTTGCTGTTTAGTGACAGTAAATGTGGCATTTTATTGTATTACTAAAATACATTTCTAGGAGAAGCTCATTGCAATACAGTGTATATGGAGTAGCTAAAAAGGATCACATTTCACATTCCAGTTCCGGGTGGGTTTTATGTGCTGATCAGCTCCAAGGAGCTGTGTATTCATCAGCAGGTGAAGCGTTCTCTCTTATTTGCAGGCATGTCAGTTCAGACCCTCACTAGAAAGGCAGTAACTGAGGGAGGCAGGTTCTTCCTTGCTCAGGTGGAATGTATCTAATGCTCTCCTGAGTTGTATTTGGTTAAGGGTCAAGCAAATCCCCTGTGATCTAACAAGGTCATGGTTTTGTTTTATAGCAAAGAGAAGTGGAAAACAGTTTCTAACTTAAGCAGAACAGTGTCAGTTGATGCAATAGTAATTATTATATGTTTTTTGGTAAGTAAAAGTATTTACATATATAAGTACTGTTAAACATTTTCTTTTTTCTTTTAGCTCTTCATTTGCCAATACCATATTTGGCTGGCAGCAGACACAAAGGGGATCTTGGTGCTCATTCCTGGATATCCAATGTTTAATGTTCTTGTCAGCACTTTCATATTTGTGTGCGTGGCACATGAGATTTCTCAGATCACTAATGATCTAGCACAGATTGTGGTTCCTAAAGATAATTCAACTCTGCTGAAAAGGTTGCTGTGCATAGCTGGATTTTTTTCTGGACTACACTTCTTTTCAGCAATGCAAGATCAGTCAAGGCATTAACTTGGAAACTTTCTTCAGGTTTACTTTGTGTCTGCCTGAACAAAAATTCTCAACTGGAGGTACAAGAAGACATTTAAATTAAGCGTGTGGAAAATGTATATAGTGGAAATGTACATATTTTGTGTGGAAATAGCCTTCTCAAATAATCTGAGAAACAAGAGTGCACTGTACAGAATTGCATGTGAAAATGAGTCTTTTCTACTGGATGTTTGTTTCTGTTTACATATCTGTTGTAACGAGACATGAAGCAGTGCAGTGGTTGAGCAGTATCGTGGGCACACCGCGGGATTCAGCCGGCGCTGG